AGAAAGGGCTGGTCTTATGTGACCGGAGGGCTCCCCGGAGAGGAGGAAGCCACGTGCTGCTGAGCTCCCTGGAGGAGCAGCAATGTGGACCTCAGGGGTGGTGGGGTAGGGAGGCCAGGCCGAGGAGAGAGAGCAAGACTTTGGGGCTTTTCTGCCGGGCACGGAGCCACGTGCAGGGCAGCCCCAGCTCCCAGGCCTGTGATGGCTGCGACTTTAAGCTCACACTGAGCTGCTTTCTGTTTGTGATGCATAGCCCTGGAGAAACAGACAGGCTTGCTGTCACTTCTAATTCTGGAGAGCGCCGCTGCTTTGTTACCAAGCTCTTACCAAGCACAGTATCACCTGCGGCTGTGCTGCCCGGCAGGGAGGCTGCAGCGGTTCTTCTCCAAGAGAGGGCTGAGGGGCAGGGGATCTCCCTGGCTCTGCCGCTCCTGGGGCTGCAGGGTAGAGGATCCAAGGGACCTCAAAATCAGCTAGCTCCCCCATGGACGAGGTTCCAGTCTTCCAAGCAGGCTGAGCACAGGTACTATATCACCTATCACCAGGTCTTTACCGGCCCCCTTGACCATCTGAGGTATTTCTCCTCCTCTGTCCATCTCCCCTGGGCCCTGGGAGAATCAGGGAGTGCATGTGGGGGTGTCCATGAGCTGTAAAATCGGGAATGCAAGGGAGTGTTACTGTTCTGCCCTCTGACTCTCGGGGCCTGGGGCTCTGTGGGTTCACAGCCAGGCTGTAGTCAAGTCCCGATCTGCTACTTCCCCCTGAAATGCAGTGGCCCAGGAGCTCAGTGCTGAAGTGCCCACCCTGCAATGCCTAACACAGCAGCATCAGCTCCACTCAGAGAGGGGCAAGACCACAGGTCACGTGCAAATACTTGGCACCGTCTCTGGACTCTCTGTGTCTTTAAAGTTCAATGTTAGTCCACCAAGTTAGAAGGACAAGTTAATAGAAACCAGATCAAAAAAGAATCCATCAAATATTAAGCAGTGGAGTCAACCATCAATAATTCCGAGCCGTGCAATGCCCAGGGAAGAAGGCCGGCTGTCGCCTATGAGGAATGACACGGCCCGGCGCTCGAGCCCTGTTCCTGCACCCGCACACGCCTTGCTCCCAAAGGCGCCAAGGGTGAGCATTTGCTCTTTGCAGTTAAGCACCACCTGTCAGCCAAGAGTATTGTTCTGGAACTTTCTAACAATCCAGATGTTGCTTTCTCCTTACCCCCACCCTGACCCCTAGAATATCCAAGCCCAGGATACGAAGCTAAGTCACCGGTGTCCACTCAGTCCTGGGCTGAGGCCTTGCCCTCTGGCCACATGATGGTTTACAGAGCACAATCTAGGCAGGGTCGGCAGTACACCCGGCATTAACACCGCGCCAGGACGGGACAAGGCCCGCTAAGAGGCCGATGTGCCCATCCTCCAGGTGCTGACTGAGCACCCCTGTCAGAGGGCGAGGCACCTTCCCCTGATGTGCCGGCTGGGCCAGTCTCCCCGCGGCACCCGGGGCTGCAACTGCGACCTGTCTCCCTCTAAACTCCAAGGACATAAGCACAGCCCACCTGCCTCAGCGGCTGGGGGGCATGGGCTCGCCCGTGGTGGTAAGAAGGCGGTGACCCAGTGCCTTGGCCGGCCCTTCCTCACAGTCCTTGGAGAAGCATGATGCGGTGCCCGTGTCAGCAGAGAACAAGGAAGCGAAGCACAGCAGACAGCGAAGGGGCGTCCGAGACCCCACTGCTCTAGAGATGTGGATCTCCACTCCCCTGACCACACGCCTGACCTCTGACCATGAGATGTGCCCCCCATGTTCTCCTGTCACGTCAGAACTAAGAACCCCGACAAGAACTGAGCTCACAGAAACACATCCAGGACAAACGGAGCGTGAGGGAGTCCTTGAGCACTCGCGGCAGCACCATGCGGCCTGCTCGAGACCACCCGGCAGTATCACCCAACGGGGCAGCTCTAAAGAGGGCACAAAACCACCAGAAGGCCACCATACACGTGTGATGCCACCGCAGAAGCACCCCATGAGAAAACCGCATGGCTCCCCCAACCCCCCGAGCTCCAAGGGAAGCCCTCAGCTCCAGCGACTGCTCAAGAGTCTTGCAACACACCGATGTGTCACAGCACTTGCGAGGCCGGTGGGGTGACCCTGTGCACAGCTCACAGCTCAGCTGAGCACGTCTAAGAAACGGGAACTAAGAACTTCACCAGTCAAAATGGAAGATGCTTGGATCAAATGAGGCAAGGATTCCCTGGTCACAGGACAGGACAAGGGCTTCGGTGTCTTCTCAGAGGCCTTCCTCCCCATCGAAGTGGCATCTGAGTCTCAGGGCAAGTACCACAATCTACCCTACCCCCACCCCAAAAAGTGAGTTAGAAAGACAAGATGAGGCAAATAAACTCATCAGACTCTTTTTTTTTTTAAGAGTTTTTTTGGGGGGCTATAGGGCACATGCACTTGCTGGAAAGACAGAAAGAGAGAGACAGAAAGTGAGAAATCACCCCCCACCCCCATGGCCACGCCACAATCCCTTCTCTTCCGTTCTCCTCTCAGGAGCTTGGGCATGCACACACTCATACCCAGTGTGAGTTTAAGCTGCTGGGTCCGGGACTCGAACCACAGCCAGCTGTGTAGGAGTCCAGCAACTATGCCATCTGCTGGTCTCCCCCAGACTCTTCTTTTTTTACCCTATATACATGATACACTAATACTGATTACAACATAATTTTATATTTAGAAAACAAATCAATGTTTAGTGTTTTCATAAAGCAAATTATAGAATAGATACAATCTTCCAGGCTCATAGATGAAGGTTATAAAAGGCAGAGAATGCCGGCTACAAGGTGTGGCATGAATGCTTCTCTGTGAAAGCGGTACCACTTGACGCAGGTAAGGACCTGCCAGCACGGTTCTTTTCAATGAGACTACACCTCGGGAAGGGCCTCGCTGCAGCCTTTCACACCCGCCTAAGCAGAGTGCAGCTGGTAAGAAGGCAATGTATACCCACTGCTCGCTGCTTTAACTGATAGTTCTCTGCCTCTGCAGATTGACTGGGTCACCCACCTGTCTCCTACCTCTGCCTACCCTGGACCCCTGGCTCTCAGTAGCCAGAGCTGAAGCATGAAGGCCACGAGGGACGTTTAGGACAAGAATAACAGCGCAGACAGGGTGCGCCAGTGCACAGAGGGCAGGGGGCGGCTAGGCACTGCTCACCACCCTTGTGGCTTCCTCCACACAGAAGGAAAACCAGGATGAGTCGCGTGTGTGCGGCTGGTCTGCCCACCGGGGTGTGAGGCTCTTTGAGAGTCTGGAAGACACGAAATATCCTGAAACATAACCTCACACCGAGAGCTTCACATTCTGCCGGCATAAAGGACTTGAACACATGACTGTAGGATTCAGGCTGGAAAACTCAGCTAGCGTAAGGCCGCTGGCCGAGGGACAGGGCTGAGATGAGATTCCAGTGGGATCGATATTGACTGAACACACAGGGACTGTGCAGGTGCAGAGTGAGGGCACAGGAGCCACCAGGGGCCCAGGGGAGCCGTGCAGGCTGGTGGCCGCACAGGGCCAACCTTGGGGGTTGGGCAATGGGCAGGTGAGAATGACAAGGGCAGTCCAGCAGGGCAGGTGGAGGGCTTGGGGCCAGGACACAAAGCAATGGGGGCCATGTGGGTTTGTGAGCACGAGACAACCTACACAACCTCCGATCCAGTCAGACAGCTCTCTTCTGGTTCCCACGCCTCCTCCCATGGGGAACTACGCCCAGTCAATGGGTGCTTGGTGCACCTATCACAGCGCGGGGAGACAGGCTCAGCCTCTCTCCTGGACGCCGATTCCCACTGCTCACAGGCTTTCATCATATCCAAACTCAGCTATGCCCCCAGCCCCTGCAGAGCCCCTTCCTCCAGGAAGCCGTCCAGAGTGCTCTCTCACACCTCCACAGGTGGAACGTTATGGGAGGGGCTGGACTGCTAGGCCTCCCCAGCAGAACCCTCAAGGACACTGAGCAGAGAGCAAGGTGCGGTTCTGTTGAGCTGATGCACTGGGCATCGCACCCCAGCCCCTGACAGCCACTGCAGTCTTCTTCCAGCTCTCCCTCTCGCCGCCTCCTTCCCTAGCCAGTCTCCACCTCCTTTTTCTCTTCCCAATTGACTTCTTCTGTAAGTCGCTTACCCTCAACAGACTTGGAAATGCCTGACGGAGCATACAGAAAGGACCTCATCTGACCTTCTGTTTGAGACAGATACCGAGGCCAGAGGGGCACATTTCACTGAATGCAAACCTCTGCCTCACAAGTCAGGTTAATAAGGGGTGCCTCTGGCCCAGGGTCACATTCCAATTAGGAAGCTGTAGTCTCACCCAGTCAGCCTCCAGGTTCTGCGAGCTGGGGACGCCCTTATGCCTCAGGGCCTGCCTCATATCTTAACATCTAAGGAGAGGCAGATTAGATCACCCGCCAAATCTGACTTTTTGCATTCTAGAAATCGTGTGTTTTCTGTGTTCTAAACGGATCCCCTATCCAGTTTTTGCAGTCCCTGCGTATGTCTTTATGCCCAACGTTGCCTGTTTTTCTTGTTTGTCCAAGTAGGAAGATAAAAGGTAAGAAAAAAGGCGAAGTCCCGGAAGGCGGGAGACCTGCGATCTCGCCTCGTCCTGTCCCTAATTTTGGAAAGTGGCTCGGCAGAGCAGAGGCTAGATCTGGGTGCGCTTGACCTGCGGGGTCTCGGCCTCAGCCGCGTTCTCTCAGGCCGCAGCTCAGGGTTTCCGCGGTGGAAGCAAGTCATCGCCGCGTCTGGGCGTCGGGACGTCGGGGTCTCTCTCTTTCCTGCTGCAGGTGGGTGGGGTCGGCTGCTCCACCTGACACTCAGGGAGGCAGCGCAAGGACAGGCCTGTGGGCCGCAGGGGTGCGGGCGAAGGGTCCAGCTGGTACGTCGGGTCACTGCAGACGCCCGGGCCCCTCGTCCCCGTCGCTCTGACACCGCCCCGTCCCCACTCACCCGCTGGGCCTTCTCCCACAGCTGTTTGAGCTTCTCCATGCGGAACTCCTCCCCGGGTTCGCGCTTTGGGGGTGGCTCGGGCTGGTTCTTCTCCCGCGAGTACTTGCCGCCGTGGCTGGCC